GGGTTTAGGGGTTTAGGGTTTAGGGTTTAGGGGTTTAGGGTTTAGGGTTTAGGGTTTAGAATTTAGGTAGGGGTTTAGGGTTTAGGGATTAGGGTTTGGGGGTTTAGGGTTTAGGGTATGGTTTTGGAACCACTAAACATCCGAAACCTTATACCACTAAGCTTGATCCCCATACCCTCAAGGCGTTTTCAAGACCGTATCTAAAGACCGTATGGAAGACTAGAAACCCGTTGTAGACCTTCAGCCTTCAGCCCTAAAGCCGAAACCTTCTACCTCCACCCGAAACCCGAAGCTTTATCCTAGCCCTCTACTCAAAACCCAAAACTGAACCTGTACCCTAACCCTCACTCCTTACCCGAAACCCCGAATCCTACAGCCCCACACCATACACCCCCTGAAGCCTAACGCCTAAACGCTAAACCCTAAACCCTAAACACTAACACCTAAACCCTAAACCTTAAACCCTAAACCCTAAACCCCTAAACCCTAAACCTCTAAACCCCCGAAGGACAGTGGCTTCCGACTGGTCCGGGGCTCACAGCGGCTGACTTTCTGCAGGCCAAGGGCTTTATCTATTTTTGACTTTTTGGGCTCCTATATTCAAGGGTTCCTTTAGGGCTTAAAGTATTTTAAGTCATTATGTATTTTTGATTTTTTGGCTCCTTTATTTAAGGGTTCCTTTAGGGTTTAAAGTTTACGGGTTCCTTTAAGGGTGGGTATTGTAAGGGTTTCTATGAGCTTACTCTAGGGTTTAGGGTTCGGCGTTTTGGTTGGCTTTGGGTTGATTTTGGGATTTTGGCTTTGGGGTGTTCTGTGTTTTTTGGGGGGGAGTTGGGGCTGTCACGCGTGCGGCTCGTTGTGTCTGCTACTTCCACAAGCGTTGTCGACCGATGTGCTTGGGCGATGTCCTGTGTCTCTTTAGTTGTCGTTTGTCAAAGGCCTTGAACGCTTTGCGCAAGGTGTTAACCGAAGCAAGCGGGGGATGGGGGTTTTCGTTTTCAGGATCTTAGGGGATGTGATTCTTTTTTTGGGGTTTTGGTCAGGGGTTTTGCGGGACTGTGGGTTTGGGGTTTGGGAGTTTGGATTTGACAGGGTTTTCGGTCTTGGGGTTCGGTCTTTAGAATATTGGGGGTTTTGGTTGAAGGGTTTATGGGCCTTGTCTGTAGGGTTTGGGTTTCTGGAAGGTATACACATGGTTTAGCTTCGGGATTTTGGTGATGTCGGTGTTGGGATCGTGGGCTGATTGGCTTTGGGTCTTTGGGATTTCGGGCTTAGGTAAGGTCCGACCCTAAACCCTAAACCCTAAGCCCTAAACCCTATTGAGCGTCCATGGAATTTTTGAATATAGCTTTCGAGTTAGGGCTTAGGGGTTTTGGGTTGAGAGCTCATTGTTATCATAATTACGCGTTCTATTGTTCGTATTGCGTGTCAATGTTCTTATTACTAGTGTCACTATTAGTACCATGACTAAGTTGACTATTGTCATTGCTATTACTATGATGATGATTATTACTATACACGAAAAAACGTAAAATTCTTATTGGTATTCTTATTGCTATTATGGTCACTCGTCTCATAGGCTTTGGGGTTTGCTAGCTTTTGGGTTTGGGGGTTCTGGCCTTAGGGACCCTAAGAACCCATAGGTTGAACTTGGTGCTATACATCTCGAAAGCCGCAGCCCTAAACCAGAAACGCTGGACTCTCAACCCGAAGCCCCGAAGCCTCAACGAAGACCGCCCTGAAGCCGGAGAAAGAGTGCCTTGAAGCCCGAATGTACTGAAGCCTCAAAAATGAAGCGCCCCAAGCCCAACAAGAGAAATGAATACCCTAGACCCTAAACCCTAAACCCCAACCCTAAAAACAAAAAGCCCTCAACCCTCAACTAATTAGAGGATTTGGGGGAAGAGCGCTGCCGCAGGCCAGGCGACGAGAGCTTCGTGCGGCTCGAAAAGGGAGGCAAGCGCCCGACTGCCTTTCAGGCTCACCGAGCTTCTTGGGATTTTGGGGTTTAGGGTTTAGGGTTTTGGGTTTAGGGTTCGGAATTCGAGGCTTTCCGGTGCTGGATGGATTTAGGGTTCAGGGCCCGCGGTTTAGGGTGACCAAAGGTGCTGGGAAAGCTCTTCGGCAAATCACTTTCGCGCGAGAAGCAGCAGAGGGTTCTGGCTGTGTCGGTCTTGCGGCCAGTCGAGTGAAGACGCTGTGTTCGGTCGTCTACGGAAGAAAGTCACCTGTCATAATCCCTTCTCTAGTCTAGACTAGACTAGACCCTTGAGTGCTAAACCCTAAGCCTTCAAAGCCCTAAACCCCCAAAACCCTAAACCCTAAACGCGGGTCAGCGGAGCCTCTTCTGGATTATGGTGCCCCGTAGGGTCGTCTTTATCTTGACTTCCTTAAGAGAGCCCTAACCCTAAACCCTAAACCCCAAGCCCCAAACCCCAAACCTTAAACCCCAAACCCCAAACCCTAAACCCTTAGCCCTAAACACTAAACCCATTACACCAATGTACATGCTAGCCTCCTCCTAGAATCTACGCTTTTTTGGTGGCACACCGTTCT